TATAGTTGTTACTGTTCACCACGCATACTCATATCATAGCTTCCACTATCCAATACTGAGATATTATTTATTATGTTGTTGATTTTCCATTCTACTTCTTGATGTATATTTTTGCATTTTTTTTATTATTTTTGTGTTGTTTTTGTTGTTGTTGTCGTTATATTTATTTTTTGGAAACTCCTTTAAATGTTTGATAAAATTAGATGGAATATTGTAGATATGTGCTGAAAATTTTACACTGTACCACTAGCACTGTTTCTGGAATAAAGCAAATTATCATTATTTTTCTTTTATGTTGTTCTTTCTAATACGCTGGTATATTTGTTCTCTTTGGTATCGATTGGTAGTCGCTGTTGAAACGGAGTAGTGGAGCGAGCATCGGTCTAAGACGCAACTTGGTGATAATGAGTCACTTTTCCTTTATAACGGCCTGGGCAACGGGTAGATACCATCAGCTCTCCACGCATGTAAACGCGTAGCAGTACGCAGTAAAATAAAAAAATAAAAATATAAGATAGCAAAGAAAAAAACAACTGATAACCCTGCAATCGCACTAAGGCACCAGCGTCATTTCTTCTTATATTTCGACTTACTCCACTAACTTCTTATTTACCTCAACGTTTTTCTTTCCTTTCACAATTGTTTATTACTATCTTCAACCTATCTTGTTCATTGAATGTTATTGTACAAACCTCTACTGTCGTTAACTCACTACTTTCGTGTATCGAAGGTTGCTGGTATCCCACCAATACAAGTGTAGCTTGTATTTTTGTCTTAACGCATTAATTCACTATAGCGCCATGCCATCTTGTTATTTCTAGCGTGGTTGTACACACGTAGTTCACTCCCTTGTTGTGCTATCATTAAGCTCACTATTTGAGCTTACTACCCAACAGAGGCACCAGATAACTGGTACAACATTCTTATTACTTATTAAAATTGATATTTAATCTGTGTAAATTACAATTTTCATCAGGACACACTACCCAGTCTCGAGCCTTTTTACTTTGAGTTCGTTAATCAGTACTTACACGTTAGGTAGAGTACTGGTAAGGGTATTATTACGGGGAAAAGTGTTTAGCGAGTGCGGTTAGTTGAGGTATACCTCGATTACAATCAACACTTGGAGCCGAAAATGATATTCAGCATAGCTGGTGGAACTATTTGGTCAGTAATAATGAGACTAAAGGCAAAGTATATTTCTTGAAGAGGAGAAGTTAACTCATACGACTGTGAAGAGCTACGTTTATTCAAATGATTAAAATTTGTGATATAGATAGCCTTCCTTTAACCAGCGATTTTAGCTGAAACAAAACTATACTGGAAGAAGAAATTTAGATCGAAATATGACGCCAATCTATAAAGCTTTTAAATGTTGATTTGATCCTGTTATTATTATTGGTCTCTTGTTTTCCGAGGATTATATATGATTTCAACAGCACATCTCCACTTTGTTCCATTTTCTGATGTCTTCAGGAGCTCACTCTACGATTATGTTTAGTCTCTCATCCCCTCCATGTCACCCTCGAACTTACGATCAACTCGTCGTTTCCCACTCGAACTCTACTAGACAAACCGATGGCCTGCATTGCGTGTAATGTCATTCGATGGTTTCCTCGATGTCCTCCCAACCTATTACCACTTCCTACGTCATATTTGTTGAGCAATAGGTTCTCGGTTGGTTCTTTATCAGAATTTCTTATCGTTAATTCTTTCTCACCAGACAGTGAAGGTAGCTGATGATACAGTTCTGCAGTAGCCTGTTAGAGATGCTTTCCGGGCAGGCCAACTGCAAGTATCTTCCACATTTAGAGAAGTGAGTGGATTAACATAGGTGTTGAGAATCTGTATCTTATTGTTACTGCTGAGTTGATCCACGTGGGGAAGTGTGAAACACTAGACTAAAGTCTTCGAGATGTTTGAAATCAATAGCTGCAGTCTGTTCACAACATGAATGATATCACTCCATTAAGGATAAGATTTTATTTTGATAGATCACACAGTGTTTGTTATACAGTAATATTAACTAATGCGACCACGTTTCCAGCACAAATTGTTACTGCTCATAATCATATCAAGTTACTCACAACTTTTTTCCTTCATTTATATACATGTGTGGAATTAACCAGATATTTAAGTAAAAATCAATATGGGATAATGTACATTCAGAATTTTTAATATGAGTGTTATTGATCAATTACAGTCAGACGAGTGTTTTTATAGTTATAATAAGTAACTTGCTAGAATGTTGTGATGTTCTCGAATTGAAATAGAATTTTGAGATTATTTATTATCCTCTTCTGATTTGACTGGCGGTAATATTATCTTCCATGCATATTTCTGGTATTTGCATTGAGTCATTTCTGTTGCATGTGTTAGGCGTAAGTCGACTCTTTGAACCAGGATTCAGTAGTCGATCTCTCCCTTCACTTACAGAGATCACTTCTTAGAATTTTAACCGTCTCCCACCCTATTGTGTGGTTGTGTGTTAATGCATGCAGCGCAAGCTCTGTAGGCTAAAAGACCCGGTGGACCCAATTAAATACAATAATAAAATTTAAGAAATACCTTGCAATGACTGTCAGCGAGGGTTATCAGATTGTCGGAACATAAGAATTTAACTAAGGTAAGAATGGTTGACCCGAGAAGATAAGTAATTTAGAAAAAAGCTCAGCAATTGCATTACATCCATTAACACACAACCCACACAATAGCATGGTGGGAGAGGGTTACGATTCTAAGAAGTAATCTATGCGGGTGGAGAGCGAGAGACATTGATTACTGAGTCCTGCCTTGTTCATTGAGTCTACACCCACGGCATGCAACAGAAATGACTCAATGCAAATACCAGAAATTTGGAAGATATTACCGCAACCACTTAGTCAAATCAGAGGAGGATAATAAATAATCTTAAAATTCTATTTCAATTCCAGCATATCACAACATTCTAACCAGTTACTTATTATGACTATAAAAATATGTAGATATTATAGTAAACGGTAGACTGGATGTAATATGTACATATTATAGTATCTACTTGCCTTATCTCTCATGTGATTGTAATCGATGAATAACACTGTTATTAATACTTCTGAATGTACATTATCACATATTGATTTTTATTCCAATATCTAATTGATTCCACACATGTGTATAAATGAAGGAAAAAAGTTGTGTGAGTGACTTGATATGATTATGAGCAGCAATAATTTGTGCTCGAAACTTGGTCATGAGCAAATGTTACTGTGCGTCACACTGTGTGACTTTTCAAAATAAAATCTTATCCGTAATGGAGGTATACTCTATCACAGTGCCCAAGTTTTATAATTATGTCGTTAATCAGCACTTACACGCTAGCTAGAGTACTGGTAAGGCTATTAGGAGGAGAAGTGTTTAGTAAGTGTGGTTAGTTGAGATTTTTCTTGAGCACAATCAGCACTTGTTATAACTGTACTGAATTAAATGAAGACGTTTTCACCTTGCTCTGTCTGCGCCTGAACTAATCTGCCTATCTGCTCGTCGTACCTTCCGATTTAGCAAAGCACGCAAATATCAAAAGACAAAGGCTGGACTGTGACTGTGTATTGAAGTGCAACAACGACAAAGAAAGCCATGGTATTTATACATTTTACAACAATATGGACAGCTAACGGCATTTGAAATAATTTACCTTAATAGCCAATAACAAAGTGCGTGAGAGGTGATAATATACCATATGTGCGAGATTGACAGTCAATAACAAAATGTGTGGGAATGATAATATACCATATATACAAGATTAACAGTCACTACCAAAATGTGTGAGAATGATAATATACCATATTAACAGTCCAAATGTGAGATGATAATATACCATATTAACAGTAAATACCAAAATGTGTGAGAATGATAACATACCATATATGCAAGATTAAACAGTCAATACCAAAATATGTGGGATCCTATCACCTCCCCCCGTAAAGAGTGTAGGACTTGCTTTTTGGATCTATTTGAAAAGGTTTCGGAGCTCTTCTTTGTCGAGTTGACCTTTGCGTGGTACTGGATAGAGCGTGATCTGTGTGTCTGACACATAACTGTCCTTTTTCATTCGTACGATAATGCAGCAAGAATTTATCCAAAATTTCTTCTGTTGTTCCCTCCCCCTTCGCTTTTGCATAAGCACGCTTAAAGGTGTCGACGAAACGTTCAGTCTGTCCATTCGATTGGGGATGATACGGGGGGCTACGAATATGCTGGATGCCAAACAGTTTGCAGCAACCAAGTTTGTCCTGGAAGACAGAAGCGTGCTTTTGACGACGGCGTTGCAAGAGAGATTGATCAGATACATCTCCGGGAACAACGTTGTGTGGTGAAGACGAAACATTAGAGCATACTGAATTTAATGGTACATTAAAGATATGGAGCTTGTCTAACCAGTCAAGACCAAGCAAATTCAAATCATGGTAGTTTGTAACGTAACATACACCATTGAAGTGATGCTCACCAAACTGAACCTGGCAATTGATCTCACCCACAAGTTTCAGTATATCTCCAGAGACATTCTTGGCGACATGCTCGGTCGGCAGAATCTGTGGGCAACCAAGTTTGCGCCACGTAGTTCGGGAAATTACGGTGATATCTGATGCCGTATCCAACTGAAGACGAATACGTTTGCCGTTAATATCTAGTGTTATGTACTTACGTTTGCTGGCGAACTCGACTTTGGAAGTAGTGAAAACGGTCTGTACTCGAGGAGATTGTTTCGGCTCGAAACGACTACTTCTGTTCCTCACCGAAGGATTTTTCTGCGGTGTACAGTAACCCTCCTTATGTTCAGAACTTGACAAAATGCCACGAACCACAGTGCCAGCACACTGAAGGAGGTTTAGCTGAATTTGAGACTGACGTTCTGTGTGCTTAACGGTGATCGGAGGACTTTTCACTGTGTTAATCGAACCAAATTCAGACGACTGTCGTTTGCACTCCACCATAGCAGTATCGTGCTTCAAGTTGATTAAACGTAGGCATTCTGCTGTCACCATTTGTAAAGTCATTTTCGGGTCTTGTTCCACGAGTGACAGAAGTCGAGTTCGTATGTCAGTATCTTCTGGGTTCTTCAACCCACAAATAAAAATCAAACACTTGAACTGATCTGATGTCATTTCGTGTGGTTTGAACCTTTCACATTCCTTGTTCACTTTGCCAGCGTAAGTGACATAATCATCGGAAGGCATTTTTGTCAACTGAAAACATTGATACCGAATATTAAACATGGATGACTGTTCACCAAAGATTTGTGATAAAACGGTGACTGTCTCATCGAATGATAACTCACGTGGGTTCTTGGGCAGAATGAAGTTAACATATCTGTTGTGCTCAACAGTACCAAGTTTTCTTAGTAACAATCGGACTTTGGCAGCATCATCAAACATGTAGCATTCAATACGGAAAACGTCTTCGTAACGATTGAACCATGCATCAAATACGAGACCAGATATTGGGTCGTAGTTGAACTCACTGATGGAATTTGAGATGCTTTCATATTTGTCAGAATGAGATGTTGATGGAACTTGAATGGACAGCTTCTGAGTGAGAGCTTCGATTAATTTTAGTTGAGCTGCTTCATTCTGAACTTGCTGCTGCTGCAAGATAGATTTGAGATCGTCCAGAGAGATAGACATTGTAATTGGGTTGTAATTAACACAGTCAAAAATGTTATATAGCTGCGCTGAACAGAATAAAAACTGTCGTCGTTTGCTTGCTATAACTGCAATGAATTAAGGTAAAACCCCGTCGCCAATTTGTTATAACTGTAGGGAATTGAATGAAGACGTTTTCACCTTGCTCTGTCTGCGCCTGAACTAATCTGCCTATCTGCTCGTCGTACCTTCCGATTTAGTAAAGCACGCAAATATCAAAAGACAAAGGCTGGACTGTGACTGTGTATTGAAGTGCAACAACGACAAAGAAAGCCATGGTATTTATACATTTTACAACAATATGGACAGCTAACAGCATTTGAAATAATTTACCTTAATAGCCAATAACAAAGTGCGTGAGAGATGATAATATACCATATGTGCGAGATTGACAGTCAATAACAAAATGTGTGGGAATGATAATATACCATATATACAAGATTAACAGTCACTACCAAAATGTGTGAGAATGATAACATACCATATATGCAAGATTAAACAGTCAATACCAAAATATGTGGGATCCTATCAGCACTTATAGGTGAATCAATTAATGCGTATGACTCGGAGAGACCTAGTAGGTATTATATCATGCAACAATTTCAAATACAAGCCCTCTAACTTATAATGTACATGTTAAGATAGCTTTTATAATACTCAACTGTAGTCCTAGATAATTATCTATAGCCACACAAACTACCTACACAGGATCACTGTCCTTAGTTTCAGCGACCAATAGGCCCTCTTGTTGTACAACTTATACAGGAACATATCATACACGTTAGATCTGGCACACCTCAATATTCTCCAACCGAAAGTAACAGCCAGCTGAAAACTTATTAACTGTTCCACCGGGTTTCCCAACAGTGCTCTATGTTTTCCTAATAAGATAACATCACTTCTGTGCCTTGCATACTTGGGACGATCAATATCAGTCTTTGCAAGTGAAACCGGACTAACCACTGATGTACCTAACAAAACCCATCAATAGATAACCATGAGATCTACAGAAATGACGAAACCAACAAAATGGGAGGCAAGCGCATGATATGTGCCTCTATATTCACTAACTGTAATATTTTTACAAACTGAGAGACCTACAAACTCCCAGAATCCAACGTGGATAAGAATACACACAAGCAAAAGTATAAATTTTTGGAGCATTTCAACTGAGTCTATACAGAACCAATAAATTATAATGACGCCATATTATCCTGCTAAAGGCATTGTTTTTGTTTTCTTCGAGTTCAGTTCATCAAGTGAAATCTTTGTTTATGGAGTGCCTAACTTGTATTCGTTATAGCGACACTTGGAACGGTAGATGCGTTGGTATTATTGGAAAAAGCAATCTTCCACTGAAGACAGTCAACAGAATATCAATCTGGGTGTCGTAGTAAACTATACGCACACGTTCCAAGCGGCCTACAACTGTAGACTTTCCCCTGATACTGAGACACTCGAAGTTATTTTATAGTTCCTGAGTTTTAGAAGTACCCCAAAGTGCCTCATGTTCTTTATTTCGCCCGATCGTTTTATGCTTCTCTTCAACCAGTTTAAGAGTTGCGTGTATCTGACATCGGATTTGTTTTTCAGTTTCTTTACCTTAGTTTCAGTGTGTTATCGTGTGTAATAGTAGTATTCCGTCCTGAACCAGTTATCTTGTAGAATGTAAAGACGGTTGTTTCTAAACTATTGTTAGTGAAGAATTCTCTCTAGTTAGAACATCTTGAGAGCATTTCAAGGAGTTTCCAATCCGCATTCTTGTAGTCCTTATATGGACAGTTCTCTGGAGACATCCCAAATCTTGAACTCATGAAGATGGTTTTCTATGGAATTGACTTAGCGTCCAGCTTAGATTGTTTATCTACTAACTATATAATAAGTCATCAGTTTCAAGCCTAATGCTTTCTTTATCACACAGAACACGAGCCAAATAGGGTATGGTTTGGTTTTTGTACTTGCTAGTGCGAGCATAGTTTCCTATATAGGCTTCTGATCCAGCTTGATGAGATAGATACAAGGGGAGAGTTGTGAATGAAGAGGGTGGTGTGAGTTAGATAGAATGGATTTAACTTGAACAAAGCAAGAACAACAATTGTACCAGGATAATACGAGCTCACCTTTTATTATTTCGAGGATTCTTCTCAACTGGTTACAACCTGAACGTTAAAAATTACATTAAAGATAGAATGGATTTGGCCCATTTTTCATATGAGTCTAAATGCCTGTCGACCAGAATATTAACAAGCTCGTTGAGTTGCACATTGCTTACTATGCTGACAACTTTTAACACTACGTAATAAGATATAGTCCTTCTTCAGTAGCCCTGAAAAAACTAAGGGGGAACAATAGAGAATAATAAGCAGCTTGCAAGAGTTAATGAATTGTAGGAGTAACGTTCGGTTGGGTTATTCCAGAATGTCATAACCTCTTGATGTAGAAGGTAAGATGGAATATTTTCTTAGAAATCATCAAGATATGAGACGACCAGGAAAGATCAGAAGATAGAATGACGCCTAGATATTTAATTTCCGACTTGATTTCTATTTCAGTGCCATCAATGTTGCAAACCTCGTGGATGCTAACCAGTTTGTTTGGGTTAAATTTATGCCTGAAGGTGAAATTGACTGTTTGGCATTTGGAGGGGTTTAAGGTGAGACCGTTTTCCTTGGACCACTGGCTGATTTCTGATAAAAAGCCATTTAGTTTGGAGCAGTCACTTTGACACTTGATAGGCACAGAAAGATACAGTCAGATCGTCAGCATATTTAATAAAATTAATGTCATTTGAAGATGGTAAATTATGTAGAAAGAAAGAAAAGAGAAGTGTGGAGGGTACAGCACCTTGGTGGGTGACACCAGCTTCAGTGAACACAGCAGAGGAGGATTTACCTTTGTATACAGTGTACTGCATTCCGTTTGAGAAGTAGGAATGCAACCAGTTGGTGATCCAGGACTCAGTTTGTGTCATGGAGAGCTTATTTAGCAAGAGACATCTAGGTACAGAGTCGAAAGCAGAAGTGAAGTCGAGAAACGTGCAGCGGACGTATTTGGCACCTTTATCTAATGATGAGACGATACTGTTGTGAAAGACGGCTGCAGCGTCTAAAGTGCTCCTACCCTGTCTATAGGCAAATTGTTTGGGGTTCAAGTTTAAGAAGTACAATTTTTCCTATCAGCTTTAGGCACGGGGAAGTAATGGCAATGGGTTGGAATTTTACATTCTTGTTATTTTGAGGTTTAAGGACAGGGACTATTCTAATGTCTTTCCATGCAACACGTACAACGTTTTTGGAAAAAGAAGCATTTAGGAAATACAAACACCTTTATTATAATGAATATCATATATCCAATGCCCAAATTTTAACAAACCGTTAAAAGTGAACTTTGTTTGGACATATATAAGCATTTAGCATGTTATTAAGTGGAGAACATAAAGCGTCTGCACATTTGTTTTAGAACATAGGCAGGTATAGATTAACTGACGTAATAGGCAAAGTGTGGGAATCAGAGACAGTTCAAAGAGCAGTGCCGAGAATGCATTGCGATTCAGAAAAAGCAACAGGAAGACGTAATTTGTCTGAATTCTGCAATGTATCTGCGTAAAACGTTTCAGACTATCTGATGACCCACTGAATTGTCATTGGAGTATTTATGTGTGAAAATAATAAATAGTTAAGAGGTGAGAAAATAGACTCAGATTAACTTAAAAGGACATACTGAAGGTCAAAATAACAATAAAGATCACTAAACCAAACCACCCTGGCTAGCATCAACAAAAAGCTTACCCAGGAAGGTGGTTTAGTGAGATGGCGAATTGTTGCTTCGAACGCATAAAGGTGGTCTTAATTTCCTAATCACACTACGGCTCCCATAAACTTTAGGATATGCTCCAGACACGTTTTATGATAGGTTTAAAGGATATGGAAACACCAGTTTTATATCCCGTCCCTATAATATGTTTTGCAGTAGAGGAGCTAGGTCTCCTGTTCTCACTATAAGTGGATTCTGGGGATTTTATCTGCTTCTGAAACCATACAGGAATATTCTCCGAAGCCAGTTGTCCAGAACTCCCAGTTGGTTTTTCAATGATTCTCTAAATGATATCAGCTTATGATGAAATCTTTCAACCGATCACATAAGTTTGAGTTTTTTAGTTTGACGTCAGCAGCTTCAGCTGTGTGAAGAAGACAAGCTCGCAGAGTAAAATTAAGGTGAGTTGAAGTGCGGTAAAGCTGATAAGGGAGTTATCTAGATAAATACTCTTTGCTCAGTTATTTTTGTCTTCTAAATGTTTAAATTGGAGTCTTCATCATGATGAAGTATAAATTCAACCGACTTGGGGATTCTATACCAATCTGTCTAACAGATTCTAGAACATAGACACACTTTTCGGCGTCCAACAATTGCCATATTTCTTTACTTGAAGGCGGCCTTCGACTCCGTGAATCGAAAGGTACTATGGCAATGTTTGACTGTGAAGGGAGTGCCCAGAAAGTACATTGCACTAATCAAGGCACTCTATTCAAACTCACGTAGTCGTGTAAGGGCTTATGGGGAATTGTCATCTGAATTGGTAACAACCAGTGGTGTCCGACAGGGATGTCCACTTTCTCCATTCCTGTTTAACTTCATCATAGATATGTTGATGGAAGTATCCTTAACTGAAAGTAACGACTTAGGAATCGACTTGTTACCAGGGAATAGTCTTACGGACTTAGAATATGCAGATGACATAGTCCTGTTAGGGGAGGATTCTGACAAAATGCAGAGTCTTCTGAACACCTTGAGAAACATTCTTCGTATGTTTGACATGCGATTCGCCCCTGTAAAATGTAAGATGCTGCTACAGGACTGGACCACGTCAACTCCTGCCTAGCTTAGTGATAGGGAGTGAAGTGATAGAACATGTTGACCACTTCACTTATTTGGAAAGTTGTATCAGCACCAACGGACTGATTGGCGACGAGATATCAGCACGGGTCCGAAAAGCTCGAGCTGTTTTCGCTGACTTACAC